TGGGCGTGAACAGTACGAACCGAGCGGGCGAGCCGACGAGCCGCTCGGCTCATTTGACACCACTAGAGAAAACCGAGAGAGAGAGCCTCCTAAAACCCAAATGAATTGCAATGTGTCGTGACGATGAGCTATTTTGTTTAGGAATAATGCTATTTATAATGAAAACTATCAGTAATTGTCCTACGTGGTATACACGTCATTTTGTTATTTGATACATTTATGTGATAATTTTTTTTATTAGCTTATGCATTAAATGACAAAACGACGCATGTATGTTATATAGGACAATTATCAGTAGTTTTCACCGTGAATAACATTACTCTTTGTTTTCTGTTAAACCTTCTTCAATTTCGATGCTATTAGTTTTGGTACCTTGAGACAACACCTCAAAGGCATTTTTGTGAAAAAGCGATGATGTGATGCTTTCTTGTATTATTTGAAGGGATTTCGAGCAACACGAGTTAGCTTGCAAAGTTGTGACTAGTCTATGGCATGGAAAATAAATTAAATCCAACTCAGTTTCGAGCTGTTTATGCCCATGTTTGGTCCCATTTTTTCTCAAACTTGTTTTCAATTATAGTTTGCATTAATTTTCCAACTACATATTTATCAAAATTTACAAACCATAGGCTGTGTTTCTCAAGGCCATTTGCAGTTTCTCGACTAACACATTTTCCAATTTATTTTCTCCATCCCTTTATCAACATCAATAATATTATTATAGTTAGAATTTATAAAACTAAAATGATATATTGCTAATTTTTGTATCTATATCCAAACAAATCCTGTCTTACTGTAAAAATAAAATTTTATGGTTCATGCTTTCTATTTCTTCTTAAATTAATTGTTTTTGACCAAATTACTCTCAAGCACAAAATACAAAAGTTTTTAATATAGATTATTTTATATATAAATTTTGAAAAGAAAATCTTTAAAAAAAAATTGTAGATTTTTTAAATCCAATTTCCTTCACTCATTTTTCTAAAGTAAAGTAATTTTAGACAAATAACAATATCCAAATTATACAAGAAAATAAAAAATCCAAAAATAAAGTTTTTCTTGAGCCTCACTTTCAGTTTTTCTCCTTATCTATTTCTCATACTATCCTGTAATAATGTATATGTGGATAAGAATTTTTCTTCCCCAATTTCTGCTAATTCTTGCATGCATATAAAAGGGAAAAAACTGCCACTTTTCTCTCTATCTCTCTGTATGTGTACAGACTGCAGGTCCCAAAAAACTGTAAGAACTTCTCTGAACACATTTTCCCATAATTAATTCTTGGGTTTCGTCTTTTTTTTTCCTTCTTCGTCTCTTTTTTTTTTTTTTTGTGTTTAAATTGATGGAATGATGTTCTTACTGGGGACCCATTTCTTGATATAATTACTTTCCCATCATTTGTGTTGAAGATAATCAAGCGTGGGACTCGGTCCATTTTCTCGATTTTGTGGGTTTTTTTTTAAAATTAAAGTGAGTGCTTTCATTGTTTTGAATGTTGGGCTACTCTATGTTTTACCATTAAAGTTTGGATTCAGTACATACTGTAGAATCGTTTTGCAATTATTTTTTCTGATAAATAATTTACTCGATGACAATTTCGCGAGGATTTGTTACTTTTAGATCATCTCGCAATGAATTGAACTCATTGAACTGAGTGGTGAATAAAGATATACGTAGCCGATTAGCTTACTGTTTTTGTTGTTGAGGATGATGATAATTTCATTTTAAGTTATTGGAAATTGATTGTAGCATGAGAGATGAGAAGGCTCTTAGGCGTTGAAGGCTAATCGAAAGAGGTGGAATTTTAGAAACTCTTGTAGGCTTGGCTAACCCTTAAAGTCCTTTTGTTTGTCCAGATGTAAACTTGAGAGAAGAGACTAGAGAGACCACAAGTGGGATACAAATGCTCGACTCTCCCAGCTATCATCTTCCTGTCTCACGTTTAGAGTCCAATGACTATTCATCTTCTCAATTTAGAGCACGTTTGGCTAAGCTTATAAAGTTTGCTTATAATCAATATTAAGTTCTATAATCAGAGTTTGTTAGTAGAAATAAACATTAAGGTGGGAGTTAGTTTCAAACGCAACTCTTGGTAGGATTTTCAAGGAATCAGACTAGAGTCCTCATTTTTTCTTTTTGTTTTATGAAGCTAATTGACAAGGAAACATTCAAGTGGACGGCATCCTAAAGTAAGATAATGGGCTACAATGGGGAGTTCAACAAAGAGAGTGTATATTCTGGGACGATGAACGGAAACCCCAGTGGCACTGCAGTACTCAAGAAAGAGCGGGTTCAAGAATTGCCATTAAAGGTATTGAACTATCTATTTGACGAATTCCTGTTTGCTTAGAAAAAAATTATTCAACCTTGCATATATAAAATGGTGATGACCAATTCTTATTGCAGGAAACATCTCGTGATGAAAATATTCAATTGTATCCAATGCCGGAGTCTACACTCTGCACTTTCTGCATGAGTGAGAATAGTTGCAGGACGGTTCGATCAAGGACAAAACTGATGAACATTCTCTTAGAAAGAGGGAAGCCTCAGGAAGCCCAATCTCTTTTTAATAATTTGATTGAAGCAGGACATAAGCCATCTCTGGTAACATACACAACTCTTTTAGCGTCTTTGACAGTTCAGAAACGCTTTGACTACATTCATTCAATCATTCGTCAAGTGCAAGAGAGTGGGATGGAGCCCGATTCAGTTTTCTTCAATGCTGTTGTAAATGCATTTTCTGAATCTGAGAACATGGAGGAAGCCATGAAAACTTTATTGAAGATGAAGGAGCACGGGATGAAACCGACTACTAGCACTTTCAATACATTAATAAAAGGATATGGAATTGCTGGAAAGCCCGAAGAATCTTTAAGAGTAATTGAACTGATGTCCAAGGAAGAGAATGTAGAACCCAATTTAAGAACGTATAATGTACTTGTCAGGGCATGGTGTAACAAAAAGAATATTAATGAGGCTTGGAATATGGTTTATAAGATGGTAGCTGCGGGTATACAACCCGATGCTATTACATACAACACAATAGCAACAGCTTATACTCAAAATGGGCAAATGGAAAAGGCTGAAGAAATGATACTAGAGATGCAGAATAATAATGTGCAGCCTAATGAAAGAACATGGAGCATTATCATCTCCGGATACTGCAAAGAAGGTAAAATGAGGGATGCCTTGAGATTTGCTTACAAGATGAAGGATCTTGGGGTGCGTCCGAATCTTGTCGTTTTTAATTCATTGATCAAAGGGTTCTTAGACATTTCAGATAGAGATGGCGTTGACGAGGTCAGTATTCTTGGATGATTTCTGTTTAGTTCCTTTTTATCGTTTTTTCTCTTGCACCGGGTTAGAAGAAGTAATGATAGATGTTGCAGTTGATAGATCACTTATTTTCAAAGACAAGTATAAATGATCCAAAATCTGTACAATCCTTGGCACATGTTTTATTGGTTGAGGGAACAAAAGAAACATGATTTGCCAGTATCTGTCTGAAATATTATTAGTGAAATTCAGAATTCAAATGATTTTGGATGCTCTATATCGAACATAAAACGTCCCAAATAAAAACACCCGCTTTAGTAAAGAGCCCGAAATTCTTTTCTTTCATTTCATAGATTTTGACATTGATGTCAATTTTCAATTTTGATAGATATTGACTTTGATGGAAGAATTTGGAGTCAAGCCAGATGTGATTACTTTTAGCACCATTATGAATGCCTGGAGTGCAGCAGGCTATATGGTTAAGTGCAGAGAAATTTTCAATGACATGGTAGAAGCGGGCATAAAACCCGATGTCCATGCATACAGCATTCTCGCCAAAGGTTATGTTCGTGCCTTAGAGCCGGGAAAGGCCGAAGAACTCCTGACTGCCATGATCGAATCCGGTATTCGCCCAAATGTAGTGATCTTCACCACTATCATAAGCGGATGGTGCAGTGCTGGCGCACTGAACTCTGCAATGAGGGCGTTTGAGAAAATGTGTGAAAGCGGAGTATCTCCAAATTTGAAGACTTTTGAAACCTTAATCTGGGGTTATGCAGAAGCCAAGAAGCCATGGAAAGCAGAAGAAACCATCCAACTCATGGAACGATTCAATGTTCGACCTGAGAAAAGTACTTTTCTGTTGGTTGCAGAATCATGGCGTGCTGTTGGATTAACTAAAGAAGCTAATAGAATAATGATAAGTTTTAGGAAGCAAAACACAGTGCGTCCACAAGAAATGCTGCCAGAGATACCAGTCGAGAGCTTAGAGAATAATTATCAAAAAGAAGCAGATAATGTTACTTTTTCGAGATTACAGATTCCTAACGGGATTGTGAGTGATCAAAAGGGTTCGGCTGCTCCTATGAAAAGAAGTCGAATGGTGTTAAGGGAAGCCGAGTTCTCATCCGAGAGCTTGTGTGCTGCTACTAAAACTATGAACCTGACTTTTAGGCTTCGGGAACGAGCTCCGATTGTTTGCCAGAGGCAATTTCAGGGGCAGCTCTACATGTCCAGTCAGATTGCACCCTTATATACAGTACTTTTCTTGAACTGAATGGCCCGCAGAAACATCAAGAAAAGTAAGCAGTATTTTGCTTGAGAAGTTGATATGAAGGCATGGTTGAAACTTAAATGACCGACTGTTGTACATAGAAAGAAAATTGGGATTCCATCCCTTAATCTCTCGTCTTTTCTTACGTGAAATGTTTGGTAAAGTGAATTCGACAGTATTAAAGAAAAGTAAGTTAAATCTTGTCCCAACAATTCCTACATCGCAATAATCCGAAAGCTTTTTGTTGGTGAAATTCAAATGTTTGTTCACCTTTGCAGGTACAGAATGCTAACTGTAAAATCCATGAAAAATGAGCATTGCATTACCCTTAAGAAAAATAGCAGAAACTTCAGCTGCCTAAGAGGATGTTTAAGCAATTTTGAAGAATTTAGTACCAAAATGTACAAAAAAATAAGCTTTATAATACAACGACGGACATGTCTCAAGACAAATATACTCACTTCATGAAAATTATTTACAGAAGTCAATATCAGCATACATCAGTTGTCATTCATACAGCATATCAAAAAACTACGTCAATATATATTTCAACCATCCTGTATCAGATACAAAATTGGAACATGTATCAGGTTGTATCTTTATTTCTCTTCCACCGGTGGAGAAACCCTGCTAATGAGCCATATCAAAACTGCACCGACAAGGGCACCTGAGAGATATGCTATATGATTCTCGTTTTGTACACCATAGACTCCTCTGTAACTGCCTGCTAAGTTTGTTGAAGCTTGGACTGCTTCCATTACCTGATATGCCAAGCAAGCATCAAATTAAAGAAAGCCTAATAAAAGTTCTAGCGAAACACCCAGTTATTAGCCTCTCAGTTACTCAATTTTGGTAGTAATACAAGTATAGCCAACTTGTGTGAAAAACATCCCATTTCTAATTATCACGAGGCATAAATGCAGCCAGAGGAAAATCTACTCTGTGTGAGTAAAGCCTTCCGAAGACATGGTTCAACTAATAATTTAAGATTAACAAACAAAGTACAGATTTAACTATCTTACTTGTGCCTGTAGAAACCCAAAGGATGTATACAATAGAATGATATTTAACCATCTTTCATCTATTTCCCGTGTTTTATTGAAAAAATATTGGGAAAATATTGTTTCATTTATTTCACGTGATTTGTTTTTATCTTATTTTCATCTTGGGTTTGGCCATTCTTCTCTATAAATAGTAGACTCTTCATTCAATTTTTTGAGAGCAGAAATTGTTAAAATTGTATTTTCTCTCCATTGGTTGTTTAATAAAATAGCGATTCCTTTGCCAATTTTTTCTTTTCTTTACTTTAAATCTTGTTCTTGTTTGGTGAGCGATCAATACTTCATATTGCTCCATTAATCTCTTCCGATTTTTCACAACACGTGGGTTCAAAAAGTCCCAACAGGTAAGAATTTACCCAATTATGTATAATAGAAGAAAAGAAAATCTTGAGAAAGTTCCGGTTTACGTAGAAGTTAATACCAAGTCACATGAATCATTGATCAAGTCCTAATTAACCATAAATATGGATTGTGGTACCTTCTCTACCACAAATTGTCCCAATATAAGTACTTCAAGTATCTTTCTCCAATCCCACGACATCTGAATAGAAAGTAGACAAGTTAATACTGATATAGGAACTTCCACTTGCTAAAGTTAACTAATTATAATAAATAACTATATCTTCACAAGGACGATAATGCCATCTATGCTCCAATAGAAACTGCATTTCTCGGGAGAATTAGCCATGAAACAAGGTTAGTCCCGGCACCTGTCAATGCGGTCAAGAGCGATCTGTCATCGGTTAATCTAAACCAAGCCTCAGTCAATCTTGTGCAAGGGCGAAAGTCCAATAGTTACACAAGTGGAAGGTTTGGCTACGATGGAAGAAATGCTAGTTACGGAGGTAGGGGCAAATCAAGTGTGAACAAAGGCCATGTCAAACATCCATCAACAAGGGGTTCGACTAGGTTTTTGCAAAGAGGCATTGCTATGCGATGACAGCAAGGGATAAAGCATCGTTAAATAACAAGACATCATTTTTTACGTTCAAAATGCTGAATCGACGTCAACTATAAGGAGGCGAAGCTCAACGGGCTACCTCACCCAAATGTTAGAGCGAGTGAGGATCACATGTTGTAGATATTCTAATTTTTAGCACAACAAAGTATTCACAGAAAATCATGAAAACCTGTTCACTAACAACTACTTAATCTACAAGCGTCTTAGCTTTTCAAAAGCCTTGCCAAATCATGACACCAAAGAAAGCACGTGAAGTTTTCTTACCAATTTGAGCAAGACATTTTTAGCAACATTTTGCACTTCATCCATTAAAATAACTATAATTTGAAAGATTATTCCGAGTTAGTCAAGTCTACTGGTTTTAATTTTCTTATACTCCACAATATTCTAATGAACATTTGTTGAGCTAACGTAGACCATAATTATTCGATAATAGAATAAATTAAGTTAAAATTGTTTTCTCAGACCAATCGCTCAAATCAACTTTCAAGTGGTTTTTTTATTTTTCAATTTATGATTTTTTCTTTAATTACGTGGCAGTTTGATGAATTGGCGTCACGGTTACTAACACATGATCAACGTTAATAACTAACATATTAGGCGATTCATACATTTTTATTTGCGATCGAAGTGGATGGAGTGGTGGAATTTGTATCAAACTGAAATTGAACGGCTCGATTAAAGTTGAGTTATTTGATTTGCGGTGTATTTTACCTTAATGGAATATCGAGAAAAATATTTTCTTTTATAATTCTAGAGAAGGGTGACCGCTGCCCAGACAAAAATCCAAGTTTGAGCAACAAAACTGTCGTTTCATATATGTAGGAACCTGTGTGTATTCTTTGTGCCACCTTTCAGCTTTCGTTTTCTCTCGCTCTTTTAAGCGACCAAAACTCTTTCCATCTCTTTCATTTTTTTCTTCTTCTTGCAAGTTTTCTCATGCACCCGCTTTGAGCAAAAAAATTCCCACCTGCATTTTTCCTTTTCCACCCAGCAAAAATCTGGGATTTTACGTAAATTAGAGAAGATTTTTACTGAAAAGTGAGAATTTTGGGTTAATAATGGCTGGGATTCAAGGAAAATGGAGGGCTTTTAGACCTTTGCTTACAGTTGTATGGAGCTTTCTGTTGGCTTCAATATTTGTTTCTGCTGAAAGAAGAAGCTCAAAGCAGAAATTTTTATCAAATAATGCAAATGGGTTTTCACATTCTGATTCTTATTCAGATGTTTTAACAAATTGTCTGAATTTTATATGGCAAGCCAACAAATCTGGGTACCAGCACGTTTGGCCGGTGTGTTGATTAAATCATTGATTCAGTTTCTTTTCATATTTCAATTTATTTTCTGCTTAATGTATTTGGGTTGAGTTTGATCTTCAATTTTTTTTTCATGTGTAATTTTGCATCATGCGTTTGATTGTTGAGTATTTATTTATATTGGAATTTTGAGGCTGGAGGTTTAATATTGATTATATGGGGCTCACAATAGATAATATTGATTCAATTCTGATGATCATTGATCAGTATATCCAAAAGAATCTTTGTGACTTTCTAGGATTTTGTTCTTTCATTTCTTGGTAGGTTGTTGAATCCATTATCCAGGAGGGCTATGAGTTGGTTGGATCGGACTATTAACAAGTGCTGATAATGTTTCTCGTAATTCGTTTATACTTTAAACATGCACGCAGAAATGTGAAATTTTTATTGGAGATTTGCATATGACCATGCGCTTACTGGAAGAAAAGTAAGATTTTGTACCGAAAATCGGAAAATGGTAACTAGCGGAAAACCTCAAAGAAATGGTTGATTTGTTGAATTGATCATACCTCTGTGCGTGTGTATGTAAGTGACAGAACATCCTTGAGCCAGGGAGAATCATGAATTCGTGTTATTATTATTTGAAAACGCTTGTGATGAGTTGTGCTTTTACACGGTTGATTTTGGTTTTCGTGTTTTGGACTGGACGTCCTACGGGCATGGAAGACTTGTAACATGTGACAATTTGGTATATCGTCTACAGGATCTGAAATTCAACTGGCAAATTGTTGTTGGTAGCATAATTGGATTTCTTGGAGCATCTTTCGGAAGTGTTGGTGGCGTTGGCGGCGGTGGGATATATGTTCCCATGCTTACTCTGATTATTGGATTTGATCCCAAATCAGCGACTGCTATCTCAAAATGTGTGTTACTAACCATATTCATTAATGGAAACACAATCTTGTTTCCATTCGATATACAAAGATCTTTGTTGATTAAATGAACTCAAATACATTAAACTACACATATAACTTTAAACAGCCTCAAACCTGAAATTCTAAGTTTTGTCGTATTGCTGGAGGAAGAAACTATGCATGTAAATTTTTTAAATGTCCTGAAGTTGTTGATTTTAAATACTTACAGCAACTGAAAGTTACCTTTAAATTATAATGGCTAAAGAAGAAATGAACAATTGTTAGTAAAAGTTCGCATTCGGTTGTATGGAGTCATAAATACCTTGTCTGATTTGACAGGTATGATCATGGGAGCTGCAGTCTCGACTGTTTACTATAATCTTAAGCTCAGGCATCCGACAATCGACATGCCAATTATTGACTATGATTTGGCAGTTCTTATCCAACCTATGCTTATGCTAGGCATTAGCATTGGAGTTGCATTCAATGTGATATTTGCCGATTGGATGGTCACAGTTCTTTTAATCGTTCTCTTTATAGGTAATTAATGGTTGTATTACAATTGGTTTGTTATGTATCCTTCTTTAGTGCCCCATTTCTATGTGATATGACACTCTCAGGCACATCAACCAAGACCTTTTTCAAAGGAGTTGAAACATGGAAGAAAGAAACTATCGTGAAAAAGGTAATCATTTCAACATTTTTACGCAGTTGGTGGCATTATGGTGTCTTATGTTATTCACATTTGTATCGTCTTAGATGAAGATTCTAATTAATTGAGTCGTGGCAAAATCCAAGTGCAATATATTTTTATATTCTTGGAATCCTCCTGTTTTTCTTGGAATAACCCGTTGCTCTTTCGTATTGAATGTCAATTGTGATCTTGCTTCAGGAGGCTGCAAAGCGATTGGAGACAAATGGTGAGTTCATTGAGAGACTTCTTAAATGAGTTAAAACATTGATAATATGTTTGATAAGGTGGATTAGATTGCACTCAACAATATTAAAAATGAAAAAGATACTAAAATCTTGTCCATACGGTCTAATACTACATACCAAAAAATTGCATTGAAGGATCAAGTTTTCTTTTTCTTTATTCCTTTTTGGCCCTCTCTTTCTCTAACAACTAAGCATGTGTTTTCCTGTTCTGCAAGGCAATGATACCGAAGAAGCAGAGTACAAGCTTCTTCCTGGAGGCCCAAGCAATGACATGGAAAATGAGGCCAAAGGCTTGGCAGAGCCCAAGGTGAGATATATTTCAGTTCTAGTATGACTTTCCAAAATTCTCAAATATAATACTACTCATTACCTCAGGTCGGTATCCTCGAGAACGTTTGTTGGAAGGAACTTGGGCTTCTTGTCTTCGTTTGGATTGCATTTCTTGCACTGCAGATTTTAAAGGTTTTATTTTTTTCCTCTTTCCTCTCAAAAATTCTTTTCATTTTTTTCTCTTAATTTGTTGGTATCTCTAAAACTTGCTCCTCAATTTGGAACAGAACTATACAGCTACATGTTCAGCAATATACTGGGTGGTGAACTTGCTGCAGGTACGTGTACACAGTTATATGCATATTCGGAAAACTTTGTCGCCGGTTCTGGTGATATGTTAAAACTCTTGTTATACTTTTTTCTTGATTCATTCTAAACTACAATTACACTGCTCTGCAGATCCCCATCTCTCTTGGCGTATCTGGCTACGAATCGATTTCCCTGTACAAGGGATGGAGAAAAATTGCATCTAAGGGAGATGACGGCTCCAACTTGAAAGTGCGCCAATTGATAACTTATTGCTTGTTTGGTGTACTGGCTGGTATTGTAGGGGGTCTACTTGGTCTAGGAGGTGGATTTATCATGGGTCCACTATTTTTGGAGTTAGACGTTCCACCTCAGGTGAGATCCAGATTTTTTCAGAATTACGTTGAGCAGACTCTTTTTTCTAGAGAGTTGAGCTGACCCCAAATTTATTTAGATGAATCAGAACAAGGCTTACCGAGTTTGGTAGCCATTCTACTTTACTCAGATGTTTTTGGTGTAAGTACATGCATATAAGTTTTCACTTAACCTGATGCTTAGACAATCATACAATGATTTTGGAAATTTTTTTCCTTTTCTTAATCATCAAGTATAAGAACTTTTTTGTCCTTTTCTTGTCTGTTAAATGTGAGAAGTGGAGAAGACGACTGATATTTATACTTCCGTTCAGGTTTCAAGTGCGACAGCCACCTTTGCTATGATGTTTTCCTCATCAATGTCCGTGGTTGAATATTACCTTCTAAAACGTTTTCCAGTTCCATATGGTAAGTGCATGTCCAACTTAGTTTACAAGTCTCGTAAGGTGAATTGCACAGTAATGAATAATATTAAGAAAGAAAGAAAAATGAAATTGAAGATTGTGTCGTAGTGCGTATCAAACATGCATTGTCAGTTTGATCTCAACAACATAAATGAAAGAGCTTGCATTGGTTCATACTACACAGCTATTTAGCTTTCTTTAAAATTTGTATTGAGTCGATGATTTCTGCAATTGTGTTCAGCTCTGTATTTGGTTGCTGTTGCCACTGTTGCTGCATTTATTGGCCAACACGTTGTGGGGAAGGTGATTATTTTGATGGGAAGGGCGTCGATAATCATCTTTATTCTGGCATTCACAATCTTTGTGAGTGCCATCTCTCTAGGTGAGCAACTTCATTCACCATTCGTAGATCGGTTAAAATCTTGAATTTCTCTGAGTTTTGTTTTTCAATTATTTAGATGCAACTGTTTACTCAATCCATCGACTAGCTACATAAATTTATAGCCGTATATGTTTATACTTGTATTTTTTCGTTAAACAGGTGGAGTTGGCATTTCAAACATGATTGGAAAGATTGAAAGGCATGAATACATGGGATTTGAGAACCTTTGCAAGTATGGAGTTTAACACACTGCTTCAAATTCTTGCTGCTATACTGTCTCGCCGTCCCTGGGGAGTGTGCATGAGCGTGCAAGCACGTGCTCCTATATATCAGTTGTTACTTCGATTGAATCAATGCATTTTGTTTTCTGAATGTTTAGTTCTTTGTTCTGTCCAACAGTTTGTAATCAAATATTAGCTCCAAAAGACCTTAGAAAGAAATTCTCATGGTTTGGTTTCCCCTAATATTATTGTCTTAAATTTTATTTTAATCTAGTTCAATTGACAAGCAACTAACATCATAGAGATATTGCGCTACGGGTGCAGTGAATAAATGGGTGATTCTTGAAACTCGTGTAGTCGACAAATTTTATCGAAGTAACTCTAAACCCCTCTCCTTGTGCTTGGCTACCTACTCGTGTCCATAGCTTGATCAGAATCACACGAGTTAGGCTCATGTATATAGTACTATCCCTTAGCTAGTGAAACGTTACACTCCTGTTCAGCGTTTTCTAAAACTCAATTTTTCGTTCAACTCATTTTTAACCACACATTTTATGGAATTTACAAATTTTATTAACTTTTCATCAAGTTTAACGAAAAATTGAGCTAAACCAAACAAGGGTGCACATTTCATAGATCGTGGTTAGTATGTTAAAAGCAGTGTTCTAAAAATCGTAAAGAGTGGCTGGGCATGGAGGCAAAATTTCAAGTTTTACAAGCTTGAATGAGCCTAGGTGAGGCTTAAGCGTAAAAAATTGTTTCTTATTTTTAATATTATTTTAAATTTTCAATCATTTTAAAAATTATTTAATAATTAAAATAATACATATTAAACATCTAATTTTATAAAAATACTATATCTACTTAATAATTCATATTCAATTATACAATTTTCAAAATTTTGAAATGCAAAAAATCAGAATATTTTTCATAATTTCAGTTTCAACTAGATAAGTCTTACTTAATAGATTTATAGAAATTTCATTCATACTTTTAAAGTGTGTAACAAAATAACGAGTTTCAAGATCATAATTACATAATGTAGACAGCACCAAAACTTAAATTTTATTTAACTATTTAGATAAACTCACTTTTAACTTTTGTACAAATAAAAATTTTTAATTTTTTGAAATTAAAGTCAAATAATTTTTTTTAAAAAATAAATAAATTAATAGGTTAAAGTCTAATAAAAGACTTTAAAAAAAAGGAAAAAAACACTAATAAAGTGCGCCTGATAAGACGAAAGAGAAATGAAAAAATTCAACCGTTTAGAAATTAGAAAAATAAAAGCATCTAGGCGTGAAGTGAAGCGTTTTGCCCGAACTTTTAAGTCTAGACGAGCTTTTTAAAACACTGGACTTTAAAATCACCAAAAAATTGGGGTCGAGGACTAACGGAGCACATAAAAGTAAACGTTGAAGATCGTGCTTTCAAGAAACTAACTTTGGGACGAAGGTGAGATAAGGTTTAAACGTCAGGACTATAAATGCAATTTTTCCTTTCTTTTCCAAACCTCTACAGTTTTCTCCAATAAATTGTGCACTGTGACTATAATAAACCGCTCCGAGTGACGACTTCATCGCACATTCACAAGGCAATGAATTTCAGGAACCGTACGTAAATTGGAGAAATCTACAGTTTTTTACTCTATGTCTATCAGATTAAAGTCCAAAGACTACTCTAACAGTGGCTCCTGTTCTGTCTCAATCTCAATCACTAATTTTGAGGGAAAAAGAAAAGTAAAGAAGAAATAGAAATTCGAAACCCTAGAAAGAGAAAATGGTTTTCTACTTCCAGGCGCGACCAGAAGACGGAGATTACACGATATTCATGGGAATCGACAAGCACGAGAACGAGGAACTCATCAAATACGGCTTTCCCGAAGACATTTGGTATTTTCTTTTATTTTATCCAATTAAATCTATGTTTTGCGCACATAAATTTTTTATTTTTGTTTTGTTCGGGGAAGATGATGGTTTATCTACGTATATCAAAGAAAAAGAGAGAAAGATGGAAATAGTTTGATATTGAAAAGGAAATCTGAATACATCGCATCTGGAAATAATTTGCTTGTTGTGCTTCACGCTTTGTTTGGTACCAGAAAATTTGTGTTTGAATTAACATAATGGTCATCAATGGTTTCCATAGCTAAAGATTTACAGCCACTTCCGGAATACAATGAAAGCTTCCCCAAGTTGATTCCATCATCGAATTTGTTTATTTGCAAAGGGCTTCGATCGATCAATGCATTATTGTGTATTTTTCAGTCAATTGTTGAAGTTTTCTTGACAGAATTGTTCTGTGTAGGTTCCATGTGGATAAAATGTCTTCAGCTCATGTTTATCTTAGATTGCCCAAGGGTCGGACTTTTGATGATATACCCGAAGGTGTACTTGAAGATTGTGCCCAACTAGTTAAAGCAAATTCTATCCAAGGCTAGTACTTTTATGTATTTCCCTAACTGTTGCTTAATCTCATATTGAATCGATCCCGTGTTTTACAGAATCGACCCCTTTACTTTACATGAATGATGAATCCATGGAAGTCAGCATGTCAGGAAAACGTTCTTTATATGCTGAGCATATGAAACAGCTGACTAAATTTGTCACAGAATACATATCTATTTTGTTTATGGAATTTCGACAGCAGTTAATATCTTCTGATTCTGTTACTTAGCAGGAAACAAAATAAATGATGTTGATGTTGTTTACACTCCTTGGCAAAATCTTAAGAAGACTGCCTCCATGGATGTTGGACAAGTTGGATTCCACAACCCCAGAATGGTAATTTTGTTATCCGTCTGTCGTATTCGTACCTGTATAATTCATTCGCACTGGATTCTATGTTTTGCAGTGCATATTTTCTTTCGTTCAGGTTGGGTATCAAAGTTACTTTATGTGGTTCTTTGTTTAGGTTCGTACTGTAAAAGTGGAAAAGCGAATAAATGAGATAATTAACCGGTTAAACAGGACAAAGGTGGAAAGGAACCCTGATTTCAAAGGTGAATTTATAGTTCCTGGGTTAAAGCTGTCTCCTCAGTCCCCTCTCTGCTCTCCAAGTTTCCTTACCTTTTCATTTACCTCATTTTAAGTCAAGGAATCTATTTAATATTACACTTCTGTATTTGAGCATAATATTCCATATCCCTGTGTTTTTATGCACTCAGCTGAACGAGAGGCAGTCAATGCTGCTGAAAGATCAGAGAGGAAACAGCAATTTAGAGAGAAAGTGAGTCATAATTTCTATGTTAATTTTTTATTGCTGTAAAATACATATAATTTGATATTCATTGTTGTTATATGTGCCAGTTTTTCACAAACGTTGAAGTATATGTCCCTGAACTGCGAATAGTTTTTTTCTAGACTTGAGTTTCCTTACCCCCAGAAAGTCATGACACTCTGCTTCCCATGTTAATTATCCAGAATAGGCCAGTGACAACGGTGGTTTCTTGCCTCTAATCGTGTTTCCTAAAATGTTAGTAATGTTTTTCATTTTTCCATCCAGTCCAAGTCAAATATCTATTTCAACTACACATTCATAACTAATATTATTTATACATTTCGTGGGACCAGTGCTATTCCTCTTGAAAAGATACTAATAATTTTAGACAAACATAGCACTTGTAAAGAAACCTGTTGGTAGGAAAAAAAAATCTGCTAATATATATTTGCAGATTGGATAGAAACGAGAATGAAAAGGCACTGTTATTTGTATAATCCAATTAATGCGGCCAAATCCTACTCGAGCTATATTTAGTTTTTCTCCTGCCAAGGATTATTGTTTTGAAAGAGAAGCCTACTACCAAGAATGGAAGCCTACCATAATAACTAGTGTAAATAGAAAATTTCTCAACTTAATGACTGACAAGTATTACAGGAAAATTAATTAATATCTACACTTAAATTTGAATGTTTTCTCCTGCATCAGGAATGTAATTTCCCTCTATAGGAGTTCAATCTCCATCTCTAGGCATCCTACAAAGATAATGATTTCAGCAAAAGCTATTTTAGTTTGCTGGGATATGCTTATTGTTTTTTGTTTTTTTTTCCTTTTCAAATTGCCCCACCTAAATATTTTCTAATTCACTTGTAAAATGTATTTCAGAAACGGCGGGAAGAGTTGGAAAGACTCGAAAGGGAGAAACAATCCGAGTTGAGAAGCTACAAAAACTTGATGGTAGCTGAGAAGATGACATCCAACAAGGAGATTGCTTCAACTACCAAGTCCCTGCAAGAGCTTGAAGAAGACTTTATGTGAATCTTAAATACGTTTCAATGAAGTTCAAAAGAATATCAAGAGGGGATTGCTGTAAATTTAGCTAATGGAAAGTGTGATTGATTGTAAAGCCTTGGAAAAATGTTATGATGAAAGAATGAGTGTGCTACCTAAGCTTAAAAAATTGATTATTGAGAATAATTATTTCTCGAGAGTCAGTAAGTTATTTATTTTGAATAAATAACAATTTACCAAGCAGCAAGCAGGTTCCAGCAGCCAGTCCCTCAACCAAGTAACACAAAACAAAGAGAATTAGTGACCAAAACGAAAAAGGGGGAAAAATTAGGGTTAGGGTTTCTACAATTTCAGATCAATCCAAGTGTGTCGATTGAAAATTAATTTTCCAGGGACAATCACAGCAATTGAGGGCTCAAGAACGCCTTACATACACTCTGATACCACTCGTAAGGGAATTAACCAACAGAAGCAGAAATACATTCACTAAGAATACCAAAACAGAGATTTACACCAAGTAATAGATTCTCAAAATAGGACTCAAAATTTCATTCCACCTTTCTGTACATTGAAACAGCCATCAGAAAAACACCAAACCACTAATCTATTCATCACAATGGTTACTCAATGGACCGAAGAAAACACATGGTCAAACCAACACTAAAACTCTCTCAAACAACCACAAAGGTATCAGCCACACAGATTGAAGATTAAACCCAAAGGTTTAAATTTATACACAAAGTATCACTAAGAAACGATAAGAGAGAACACGAAAGAACACCAAGGACAAAAAGACCCAGAAGCTCTTACACACAAAGGAGAGAAACCAAGTGAAACAGATCTGCCCCCAAATGACGCTTCAAGTGGTATATATAATATCAAGCATCAGCCGTTAGATCAACCAAGGAATCAACGGTCCAAAGCAGCTACAAGTGGGAATAGATTGGGCCGGGTTTTTGGGCCAGTCTCTTTGCATTATCGGGCAATGGTTTTAGTTCAAAAAAATTTCCAGCAATGGGCCAGACCCAATTCATCATTGCCCCAAAATGGTTAGAAACTAATGTCACAAATGACATCAAATTCAAACACTGAGTGGTCACTGCTGCGCTGGTGCCTGATGGGCTAACATCATGTGGGAATCATGCTTTCGAGTGTGGTCGCAGATAAATTTTATTTTAAATATATTACCCTTTTACTTAAAACTAATATTCTCCCTCTCTACATTTTGTGGGACTTGTTTTGTTAAATCAAAACATTCCTTAAATTATTTGTTTATTTGATGTATTGATGCACTTAACGAGTGTTTATGATTATTTGATTAAATTTTATGTAGCTCTTGTTTTATTCCAATTTTTTTCAAAATGCATTTTTCTCTATATCATTTTTAATTATACATTTTTCAATAAAATAATATTACAGACAAATTTAAAAATTTTCCTTTTTTTTTTAATCACACCCCATCAAAATATTATTCTAAAATGCATTATTTTCGAAAAATGAGGCTCAAACATGCTCATAGAACTATTTCAATAAAAAACCAGTTATGATTATAAGCATATACTATCTGATTTAATTAAAGATGGTTGCAATCCATCTAGTCCAATTTCATTGAGAACTGGATTGAAATAGATACTATATTTGGAACAAATTAGTCAAAATTGAACGTGCATTGGACGTTATTTTAAAAAAAAATTTATAAGCGCCGTAAAAGTAATTCTTGATATCATTGAGGATATGATAAGTCTCAAACGAATTAAAGGAAATAAAATTTAGGATAAAAATTTAAGAAAAGAAAATTGTGCTATCAAAATTCAACTTCTATTATTGATTTTTTTTTAAATGATGAAATAATACAAATGAGCAACTTTTTTATACTACATTTGGTACATAAGTATTAATTTTTAAACATGAATTTAAATACCCCCATTAAAATTCCTAGATACAGGAATAGAAATAAATTCATCTATAATAACTATAGATTCATATAGATTAAGATTCATCACATCAATATTGATTGAGTATAGATTCATGTAAATTTTAATTAATTGAGAATTAATAACACGAAATTCATACATGACAAAAATTTTGTATGAATTAATTACTAATATATGAAATTAAACACCCATTAAATTTTTGAGATACATGAATAGAAATAAATTCATCTATAATAACTCTAGGTTCATGTATATGAAAAATTCATCAATCAAGATTCATTGAGTTTATATTAATGTGAATGTTAATTAATTGAGAATCAATAACATGAAATTCATACATGACAAGAATTTTATAGTATCTATTACATTTTGAAAAATGAAAAGTAATGTATTATTGTAGTATGGTTAAAATCGTCCAAAAAATGATTCTCTATAGACTTTGAAGTGATGTGGTTGAATCAAACCAGAATTGATTGATTCGGTTCTTTTAAGTTTCAGAAAGAAATTTTTAAATGTAAATTTTTTCGTTCTCATAATTTACATTTTAGCCCTGTGTTTCAGAAATAAAATTTTAGTGTAAATTTTTTGGTTCTCATGATTTTCATTTTAGCCTTTCAGGTTTAAAAAAAATTGTTTTTTTTTTCCTTTTCTGAAATTTGCACAAATCAAGATAATTGTTAATTTAATTGAGATAGCAAAAAAGTAAAAGGGAAAACCAAATTAAAAAGTTTCTCCAACTAGAACAGCTTGATTCACGATTTTAAGGGCTTGTTTGGCATAACTTTTACTTTTATTTTTACTTATTGTAAAATAGATTTATGATGAAGTTACCCTCATAAAAAGATCTTTTAACAAGACAAAGTATTTTTAAAAAAATATCCTAACATGTTAAAAAGTAGAATCGTAAGTAACTTTTGACTTTTCAAAATCATGTCAAATGGACCCTAAAATTCAAATTGGGTTAAAATTTTAATTAGAATCAAAACGAACCGACTGGTTTTATTGGTTCTCTTTCAAATTTGGTTTTAGTTCAACTTTTTTTTAATCCTTATTAATGAATAAATATGTCCCTTGTCAAACACCATTTATGAAGAAAAAAATTGTGGGTTTATTTCCAATATCTAATATCTAGAGCTTGTATGAGCCAAATTTTTTTTCCTAAAATGTATTTTGAAATAGTATTTTGATGGAAAAAGCGTGGTTAAAAAATAAAGTAAAGTTCTGAATTCCTATATAATATTATTTTATTAAAAAATGTGATTGAAAATTTGAATTTTCCATTTGTACAGAAAAATCACCACAGAAGTTCAACATAAAACTCACATCATGGAGGTGGGTCCCACGTAAAATTTAATATTGCGAAAAATGTGGGCCTCACCCGTGTTGTGTGTATTTTGGCAGTTTTTTGTTGCACGGTTTTTTGTACACACAGCAAAATTGTTGAAAATAAGAAAAAATAATGTATTTTAGAAATAACGTGATCAAACAATGGCCTAATATGTTGTATTGGGTTTAATTTATGGGGAAAATTTATGGATCATGTTTTAAGTTTCACCGATGCAAAAATCAGGCTTCAAACTTAAAGTTGCAAAAATCAGGTATTTAGTTAATTAATTAAGAATATTTATTATTTAAATACAATAAATTCATAATTATACAATTAATACCCACATGTACATAATTATATGCCACATTTTATTTATTAGTTACATATTCTCAAGTTAATTGGTCACAAATTATTTCGAGATCACAAATTAAAATTTCTATAGGTCACAATTTATCCGTCGATCACATATTTTCAAATTTCGAGGTCACAGATTATTTCGAAATCACAAATTAAAAAAATTCTAGGTCACAATTTATCTATCGAATATCGATCACATATTTTCAAATTTGCTGGTCACAAATCGACTAAATAGTTGGTCACGTACACTCTTCGTCATATCCTTGTCGTCGCCACCACAACCATCCACCAACAATAACATAAATAACAATCACCATATATCAACCCAAATTACCAACAACAACCAACCACCAACAACAGCCATTCACACATATCCGCCCGATACCCACAGATCAGCCTCATCTCCGATTCCCTTAACTCTGATCCGCCACACACCCACTGTAGCCAGACACACATCAGCCGACACACATATCAGCCACCAACAACAGCCAACTACTAACCACAGCCCCTCACACAAATCCGCCCAACACCCATAGATCCGCCGCCTCTCCGATTCCCTCAACTCTGATCCGCATCTGATTCCCTCAACTTCGACCCACACACCTATAGCAACGTCGCACGTTGCTGTGAACGACAATAGCGTTGAGGCGCTGTTGTGAAGGGAGGGGGGAGAAGGGAGGGGGAGCCGTGGTGGAGAGCCTGCCAATGGCGGTGAAGGGGTGAGACGATGGAGAGAAATTGTGAAAGAGTGGAGAGATGGATAGACTGTGAGAGAGTTGAGATAAATGGATTAGTTTAGGGTTTGGATAGATTTAGGGTTTGATATGTAAAATAAAATACCTAATTTTTGAATAAATAAACTTTAGACCTGATTTTTAAAAATCAATCTTTAAACATCTGGTTTTATGTAATTACCGCATAATTTAAAGGAGGTATAGTGCAATTTTAAATTTTACTGGTCCCTTGGTGTTCTTTTTGTACAATAGTATTTTCTTCCCCAAATTCTGCACTCAAGAGAATCCAATCCCTTATTTCCGATTTTTCCTCTACGATTTTAGCCTGATTGTCTCTCCTTTTGGTCGCAGAAAGATAAACGCTCACAAATACACAGAATTATCACATAACTGTACATACATATACATACAGCTCTATAAAGGTTGCTTTTTTGGCTATGGAAGGAGGAGGCGTAGTGGAGGAAAGGGAGAGGCACAATCGAAAAAGACAGCGTTTGACGTGGGACGTTGCTCCTCCGCCGTCTGAACAGGCAGAGATGGTTGCGAAATACAATTTTTTTCCCTCTCTTGGAACAATTCTTTCAAGGGGAAAAAAAAATAGTCTGACGCTTGGCTTGGCTGAATTCTTTTTTAGGGTAATGAAAGAGACGGTGAGGATTTTGAGGCTGGACCAAG